AACAGAATAAATCTCCCATCTCCTCTGTTCCCTTCACCCTCCCTCCCCAAGAGGTGAAGGGATACAGCAAAACACAGCAAAGCTCATCATAGAAACCTCAGGCACCTCAAATTTCTCCCCAAGCACTCCAGGTACTACATTCATGTTTATTCCTTCACGTTGTACCAGAAAATACACACTGAAGAATAAGGATAGCAATTTTAAGAGGTTCCAGGAAACTTGTAGCTGAGTCCAGGCAAAGTTTCCTCCTTCATTGAAATCATCCTCAAATTAAGAAAATGTCAGTAATCTCCTACGGTTCAACTAAATCTTAAAGAGCAATAATGTTGATACACATTTTGAGCCTATTTGACAAGATCAGGATAAAGGTCTACGCAAACTTTTTTTTTTAAGAAACCAGAATCCCATAAACAAAGGTTATGGTCATTAGGAGGAAACTACACACCAAATTGTGTTAATCCTGAAAAAAAAGTTACAGGAAAGTTCCAGGCTCTTAGGTTCAGCATAATCCAATTGTTATCTTCAGATGCTCCTGCTGGAAGACACCTATTACAAACCATCCATATCACTGAAGTCCTGGAGCAAGAGTTTAGAAAACTCTTCCATGATCCTTGTGTATTCAGTGAAATGCACAAGACTTCTACAGCCCTAGACCTACAGTTGACAAATTCCTAATCTGGAAAAAAAAAAAAGGATAAAAAAAGAGAGAAAGATGATTCCTTTCTTTCATCTCCCAGATCATGATGGTTAAGGATAATTTAACAGTCAGCTTTGTGCAGCATGTGAAGACAAACTATCCCACAAAAGCCCAACTAGCAAAACATTTGTTGGCCCTACAAAAGCCTTATTATTTATCACCCTGCCCTTAATCGGTTTATCTGTCTAAACCAAAACCCCAGGATACTTCTCAGATTGAGGATTTAGAGACTTCAGCCATTCAAAAAAAGGCATCTTTGTAATTGAGAGCTCTTTGATGGTGCACGTGGGATTGTCTGGAGTGCAGATACTTGGATAACTCAAATCCCCAATGCTCTGGTACACTGCTGCTTTGGGATGGTCCAGGAGTCTCACATTCCTGATCACCTTTGGTCTTTGTGGTTTATGGCAGATGCTTTATGCTCCATCTAGTTTTCATTCTGCACAGATCCTTAAAGAATTCATCCTAATTTCTGGCCTCTGAGAAGAAGTGGCACATACTAATGCATACAGGTTTTTAAAAGTCCTCTTTTCCTCATATCCACTTTGAAAGAGCACAGCTGCTCCTGAGATGAGTATTTCACATTTGACCTGCAGTAGCTCTGGGAGTTTCACTCGGCTCATTTCTGCCTCTTCCACTCTCCAGAAACTGTTCAACAACACACTGACACTTTTTAACATATATTTGCATTTTATACCAAAACTATTATTCTGGAATACTTGCAATGCTCAATTCTCACTATGACAGTATTTCATCACTCAGGGCAGATGCAACCTAGTGAACAATTCTTTCAAACTAGACAATCCCAGCACCTTGTTTAGGCCAAGCCTGATCTGCTCCACACATCAGTTCCTAGAAAGCTTGCGGGCCTGGCTCTAACTGACAACCCCAGGGCTGAGAGGCAGCATGCACAAGTTAATCTGGATGCATGCAGAGCAAGAACACAGACCATGAAATGGATTTCCAAGTTTGCTGACAGACAAAGTTGGCCGCAGGGCCACCATATGATGGTTTTGTGCATATGAACCTGCTGCGCTCAGGACACTGACAGCCATGGGTAGAGCAAGCAGACACTGCTCTGTCTTGAGATGCACATAGGTCCTCACAGGATGCTTTGCCCTGAACAGCAGACCTGCAGCACTTCCCTTCTGAAGAGCTTCAGTATCCCTTTATACCAAAAAGTTAGACTTTGACAGCCCTACAAAGCCACAGGCATAGACATGAAGTGTCCTGAACCAACTCCAGAGGTGTCCAGGTTGGGAGCTTAAATCCCCGGCCACATCTGATGCCAGTAATACACATGCCAAGTTATATTTTTTTTTTTCCATTTTACCAGACCCCTTGGTGCTACAAGATGATAATTTCTTGTCCCTCTTCCTCCTCGATGTACCCTCAGTCCCCAGAGAAGACAACATTAGCTTGACTTCAAATGGAGTCTGCCCTCCTTCCACCCCAAGGCCCCTGAAAATAGTTTCTTCCCAGCAGTTACGAAGTACCTGGAGAAGGCATCCAGCACAACCAGTGTGCTAAGCCAGCATTCTCATCTCATTTTAGCCTTTCCAGCAGAGTAGATACCACTAACTGCAAAACGCATCGTAGCGGATGAGGCATTCCTAGTCGACAAACCTGCATCTTTGTGGGAAGCAACTACTTGGCAACTTCCCCAGACACACAGCATCTCCTTCAGCCAAGCAGCCAACAGCTGACTGCTATGTTCCTCTGCTGGTGGTGACCATCCTCGTTGAAATGTAGAAGAGGACACACATCCATACCCTGCCCACACTTGCTCTCAAGCTTAAGCTGCTGCAGAAGGTGGCTTTGCACCAGAATAGTTGTCTACAAGATGAGGCTCGGGTGCACATCTTATTTTCTGATGCCAACTCCAAGGGCGATAGGGGTAAGACTGGGACACTGTGGTTTGTGGTTTTTGCTGAGGAGGATTTAACAGCAGGAAGGTGTCTGATAGAGCCCTGAGATTCCCCCTGCCTACACTCTACATCTTTGTTCTGCACAAAATTTTTGTGTTTGGTATTTGAATATATTAACCAACTCCTCAGTAAGCTGTAAGAAGATGAACATGTTTTGATGTCAGGCTGAGACTCTGTAATGATGGTTTGCCCTGAAGACTTCCCACAGCCTCTAAGAATCTCTAAAAAGTGAAAGCTTGAAAGTGAAAAAGCAGAAAGCAACTCTTAAAACCAACAAGGCCATTGTAGGACTTACAGAAAGCCTGAAACCTGAGGCTCAGTATAAATCCTGTGCTGCTGCTCCTGTGATCTGGCTTCAGATAAGCTATATCCTGTTTTTCAAGGCACCAAGCTGAAGTTACTGCAGCTCAAGTTTTGTTTAAGCATTCTCGACTCCCACAGCATCACCGTAATTGCTATTGATGCTGGCTTGCAGAGGCAGCAGAAAGGGCCTATTAGGCCAGTGCTGACTAATTAGGTTGCAATGAGTTGATCTGTGTCTACACACGACAACAATCAATCCATTTAATTGCCTCATTGCTTAATAAAAATTAAAATCCTCATCTACACACAGCTAGCATCTTCATTAAGGGAACACGGCAAGATTCTCGTCTAGAGCGTGCCATGCTGCCTATTCACCGGCTTTTGTCAAAATAGTCTTTTAAAGAAGAAATAAGAGAGCTATTACACATATCAAAGAACACATTCAATGCACACTGTAAACAGGACATCGCATCACAAAAAATTCAAAATCAGGCCAATGCTCTCATAAACATTGGCCAACATACCGTCAGTGAAGTCCAAAGCGTACACTGGAAATCTTCGTGCAATGTCATCAGAAATCCCCTTGCCAACATTGAGAAATTCATGCAGCTAAAGAAAGGAAGGAAGTGCTGTGTCAGTTTAAAGGCTCATGTATTGTTAAAGAGATTAACCTCCTTATTCAATACTGACAGGAGCAAAACTGGTCATTTTGAATAGGGCATTCAAATCAGGTTTTATAATGATAATAAAAATAAACTCTCGCACTGCAATTTATATCCTCAAAAGTATTGTAACAGAGAAAAATCCCCCAGACCACCCTGTTTTCCTCCCTTCCTTCCCTTTTTCCCCTCCCATTCATATCTACATCCCTGCTGTGCAGGTGAGGGAGCTGATACACAGCGTGGAAGTGACCCGCTGAAAACACCCCGGCCAACAGCAGGATTAGACCTTGGGGTGCTTGGTAGTGCCATGAGATAAATATCAGGTGAGAGAGGTCCCACACTTCCAGCCACCTTCTTTTTCTTTAGCTGCCACTAGAAAAACTCTTCCCCCAAATCCACAAGAAGCCTCTGAAAGGGGATTCCCTTCCTTGGCATTGCCACAGAGAAGGGAGACCTCAAATCAATGGAGTAAGGAAACTAAAAAAAAAATCTACACTTCAAACTCCACCAAAAAGAATAACATCAGATAACCAAACCATAATGTCTGCCTATTAAAAGACAGTAAGATCATTGTGAAAGGGTTTCAAGAACCCCACAAATTTCCTTTTATTTCTGGTTTGGGGGCCCTGCAAGGTGCTTCTACAAGCTGATGCACAAACAGGCAAGAAGGAGCTTTTCAGAAATACGTGACAGCTGCTATTGACTTACAGCCTCCCAATTCTCACAACTCCATCCTTACAGAAAGCACATGGAAAGCGTCAGAGCAGGCAACACTTACAAATGAGGCACCTGTCGGATTTTTTTTCCTTTTATCCTCAACTCAGAGCACATGTACTACTCCAAAAATCAACTGCACCTTTATACAGTGCTGATTACCCCAGCTGTCTCATCTAAAACATTTCATATGTTTGTTGCAGAAGTAGAAACAGAAGACTTATAACCTCTGCTGGGGAGTCTAAGGAGGTTGAAAAAAAAAAATAAATCACAAATTCAAACTTCACACTATTGCAGAAGTAGAAACAGAAGACTTATAACCTCTGCTGGGGAGTCTAAGGAGGTTGAAAAAAAAAAATCACAAATTCAAAATTCACACTACAGACCATCTCAATACAGCATCTTCCTAACTCTTCGGCTGGTTTATGCAGAAACTGATGAAAGCTACTGCTTTAGGAAGGACTTGACACTCCAGTACTCGTTTACAGACTACACAGCTTTACCTTTTCTCACGGGACTCACCTGCCCTGCAATGCCTGGAAGATCAGAGCCATAAGTAAAATTCAACAAGGAAACCTCTCCTTTAGAAGGAATACACTGGGCACAGCAAACATTAGGGTTTGGGGCACAGAAGATCCCTCAGAGGACCAGCTCTGTCGGTGACGATCACATCTCGTATTTCACCTACTTCAGTCAATTCTGTTGCACTTTGCATTTTGCCAATACACCTGCACCTTCAGGACACTTTCAACTCTCTAACCTGAGCAACCAAGACAAAAATACAGCAGTCACCAGCACCACATCTGCATTTTAAGCATTTCTGAAAAAAAATAAAAACCAAACCTGAGCTTAAGCTATATTCAGAGGCATATTTGGACATCAAAGCCATATGCACTTGAAAAGCAATTTAATATTTTTCCCCCCAGAAAGACATTCCTGAAGGCACGAGTCAGCCAGAGAATCACAATAGCTTTAATGACTAATATGTTTACTCGTCTCGCTGCAGTGAGCATGGGGAAAATGATGCTCGGGGTATCTCATCTTCCGGGGAGGAAGCCACATGCTTGCTGCCAGCCCGAGGCTGAGCGTGGGGTGGGGAGGAAAGGGGCATTCATAGGCAGCAGTGAGTGTGCAGAAGAGAAAAGCACTGCTTAACTTCTTGTCCCATGAGGCACATTGAGGCAAACTGGAGAGAAAGGGAGGCAATGGGTTATGTCCGAGATCTGACTCCTTCATTAATTTATTTCTTGCATGTGTGCAAGTTTAGCCTAGGGTGGTGCATGGGGATGTCAAGCTAAATCTCATCAGTGGCAAAGGTAGGGGAAAAGTGTAGTGAAAGCTGTTTCTTCTTTATGACTAGTCCTCCTCTTACTCTCCTCTCTGCCCTACTAACTGCATGCTCAACTTGGGTTGCACTGAGTAGAGAAAAGACCAAGTTTACTGGCCTCAGAAGTTACTGCCCTTTTTGGTTCTACTTTTATCCCCCAACCTAGCCACCATGCCTCTTCATCATCTAACTCTACTCTGGCTTTTGCCTCCTGCCATCTTCTGAGCTTGCACCTGTTGAGGTTTCCAAAAATCTTGGGAAGAACAATGCTGACACTTCATTCTTGCCCTTTTTTGATTTGCTTCCTTGTACCCTCTGCTGCTGGGAATTGCTTGGACTGACAGTTCCTGCTTCTTTCTCCATCAGTGGGTCAAGTTCGGCTGACCCATTGGCTTTCCACTCCCATTCATGGTGGCACATCTCTCATGGCCCTGTCATCTTTTTGATTTAGCATCCTGATACCAGGTAGCCTTATCCAGGCAGCCTTTCTTTCCCAGAGTTACATCCCCTACCAAGCTCAAGCCTTATTAGCCTTTAGGAACTGCAGCTCAGGTACCCAACAGCAAATCCTCCTTCAGACTCCTATTCTCCTCTGCTGCAAGTACTTCCACAGTGCTTTTCCCATGTTGCTCCTCATATGGAGAAAGGAAAAAGCAGCAAAAAGGAGCACACAAAAAAAAATCCTGGACAAAGTTAATGAATTTTCTACTTTCCATGTTGTCCTGGGTCCAGCTGGGATAGGGTTAATTCTTCGCAGAAGCTGGGAGTTGGGCATAGCCGGATATTCGATACCATGCTGACATCATGCCCGGGATATAAGGGGAAGCTAGCCGGGAGAGGGGTCTCTTTTGTGAAGCTCGTGGTGGTGAGATTTTCATTGTATCAGTGTTTCCATTGTACTCTATATCTTGTCTTATTGTTATATTCTCCTTTCTTTTGCTTTCCTCGTGTGGTATTATTAAAAATCTGTCGTTATCTCAACTCAGGAGGTTCCACTTTTCTTATTCGTCCCCATCTTACCGGGAGGGGAGTGGGGGGGGGGAGGCGGTGTTGCGACCACGTGGTGGTGGTGGTCCTGACACCAAGACACCATTCTACAAATCCCTCTAAGTCTCTTGCCATAAACAACTATTTTTTGGGTTAGAGGCTAAACCAGCACTGAGTTACACAGCCAAACAGAAACTATCTGCACCAACCCTTTCTCAGTCCTACCCTACAGTACTGGGGGGCTGCACAACTATTTTACACAGCCCAGGAACACACACTATCCTTCCTCTTGCTGATGCTGAGCCAACATAGCCCAGCCCTCTCAATAAATCCACACAGGTATCAAACAGATGCAGAGTCACAGCCAGAAAGCATCACAACTGTTAGGGGCTCCTCCAGGAACAAAATCACAATTAGATGCCTCAGTAAACAAGAGGATTTCAGGCTGACTTAATTATGACTGAGTATGTAGCCTTGCCTAAATAATCCTCCAAGATGAGCCAAAGCAAATGGACTGTGCTGTAGGCACAGCATGGTATGCAACTGTCTTGTCCCCTTCAGTATTTGAGCAGAGATAAAAACAAGCATGTGCAAAAATCCCACTCACACACTGAGCATCTGAGGCTCTTTTCTCCCCCATCACTGCAGGATCAAGGGAAGGAGGAGGCAGATTTTTATGCTACCAAGAGACTTTACCCTCCTGGCCCCTCCTGAGGGCTCACTTGTAATAATACGGTGGCTCCGGTCAGGGTATTTATTTCACTGGGGGTGGTTCACAGGTTGTAATTACACCCCTGGTCTCAGATGAGTTTGTGCTCATATTAAATGCTTCCTTTCTAAAAGGCACAGGCCAGGCAGAGGGGGAGGTGATGCTGCTGGAGACAGCTCTCATAGGATCTGGGGAATGCAGTTTATGATCTCCAATTTGTCTGGAAAAGTGAGGCTGATCTTTGCTTGCCAGGAAAAGAAATCTCCAGCCCAGCTCTTAAGGTCTATGCTGGCAAGGCGGGATGGAAGAAAGTGGCTAAGAGACAAGAGTTACTACTACACAGGCTGCATCTCCTCCGAGCTGAAGGATAAAACATTGCTTTACCAACTCCAGACCAAGAACGGTCAATGCCAAGAGCAAGTGCTAAAGAAACAAGTGCCATCAGAGGTCTGCCTGCCCGGAAAGGCAGGTAGGAACCACCACTTTTCAAGGTCAAAACCAACAAGTTCCACATTGCATCAAGCCCTCCCGCACACCACAGAGCACAAATTCCTCTACAGATACTTAAAAAGGGCTGGGGTTAACACAAGACAGAGCCAGATACTTGAACTGCTCTACCAGAAACTCTTTTGAAAGTCCAAGTGCATAGGATTAAACCTAAATTACACCACTGCAACTGCTCTGAATACCACCTAAATTTGAAGAGAGTTTCAGGACTTGTTCTGCAAATTAAAGAGCAGGTATGGGGTCTAGCAAAGTGCAAAGCACTACCTATAAGCAAGGGGATTCTGCAGGAAAAACATGAGCTTTGCTCATTTCCAGATGTGCAGAGAAAAACCTCTTAAGTCTATTCCAGGAAAAAAAAAAAAGTGATAAGTTAACCAGCTTCTGCACTGGTAGGCAAGCCAAAGCTTTAAGGTGATTTGTAATTCAGGGATGGGAGCAGCAAGCTAGAGATGGCACAATTTGTTTTTCAGGTATGCTTTCTGGTTAAAGAAGGAATTTCTGAACGGAAAAGCAAAGTGATGACCAATACACAGGAAATTCCAGAAAAGAAAGCCGAGTTACAGCATTTCCCTCAAACTTTAGAGTACAAAGCAAGTAATGCTTTACAGAGCTACAGATCAAACAGTGAGAAGCCAGGCCGAATACTGACAGGCAACTAAGTGAAATTGCTGTGCAGGGATGGCCAAGAAGTCTTTTGGCTGCAGGAAAGACAAGCAGCAGCTTCTTCAGAGACTTCTGATTGTAAGGATTAAGTACCTTGGACCAACACCACATAGAGATCCATTAATACCACCCTTCACTGAGCATCTGGAATCAAAGTCCTGTAACCATTTCAACACCCTGCTGCTCTGCATCCCTTCAGCACCTGCCTCTTTGAAGGTTGTTTTTTCTCTAGATTTACAGCAGGAGCTGAGGAAGGTGGACATACACACAGCAGCCATTTGTAGAAACCTCAGTGCTAAGAGCTTGCTAAGAGAGCCCAATGGATGCAAGCGGCACAAGCGCTTCATCTCCTTACCCGAAACCCCTCACGTTTATGCATTTCTACACCCCTGGAGCAGAGGCGTGGCAGGAGATGTTGACCAGCCTTACCTTCAGTGGCTTAGGACCGTGCAACTTATGCCCATTGCTCATCGCTGAGGGTTTCTGATTCACCTCTGTCAACAAGAAGCGTTGGTGGACTAAAGCTTCTTTGAACTCCTCTTCGGTTTTGGTTTCTAGGAGTTTCTGCCGAAAGGTTATGTCCGAAAACATGGTGGCAAAGGTCCTGCCCACTTCTGTGGCAGTTTTGGTACTTTTCTAAAAAAAGAGACAGAAAAAAACCTTGTAAAACTATTTTCTTTCTCTTCCAAAAGGTAAAACCACTGATTTGCCTCATTAAGCACCATCTGAAGAGCAAGCTGCCTGGCTTCCAGGACCCCAGAGACACACAATGGAGAAAGGCACACATGGAAGCTATTGCAGATGAACACACAAACCACAACAGGATCCTGTGAAAGCATCAACATACAGGCCCTGACCAGAAGCACTGACCAGTCTTACTCGATCAACTTTCCAGGACTCGATCCAAAGCTGAATCATGCTGACCATGCATTTTATCCCCAGTCTCCCCTCCAAAGCTGCTAAGAAAAACCAAATAAGAGTCTTTGCTATCCTACAATATCTCAGCATTACTGTTGCTGGGGTGGAAAGACACCGTAGTCAAGGTTCCTGCAAGCAGAAGTGTCCTGGTGTCTTTTCTGGAAGACTGAGATCATTGCGCACATCTGCTTTATTAGCTTCCTACTTTCTAGGCATTAAAAAATTCAGCTGGCCCCTCTGGCAGCACAAGTGGGAGATTTAGAGCTCTCTGCTAAAGTAACTGCTGGCACGGAGGAAAGCAGAGGAAACAGCAGCTGAGTATGCACACAAGCAGCAGTGTCCATCTTCACCAAATGCCTGGAGGCTCAAACACAGAAAAGGAACAAGTGCCTATTTGCAGGCTTGAACATTTCTGTGAGCCACAAGCCTGATCTTTGAGGGTCCACCTTCAAGGGTGTCCAAGCCCACATTCCTATTGCTCCAAGCACCTTAGAAATTAGATACAAAAGGAACAGGTAAAGGAGACTGAGCTCTGTACCTCTTTGGTCAGGACACACAGTTGCCAAGACAACATGATGCAGAATCATTGCATCAAAAGCAGCTCTTAATGAGCTAAGTTTTAACCTCCCTGCCTTAGCTACACTCAACACTCATCATGTAGCAACTGCTAGAGACACCCAAACAACCACCCTCCTTTGGACAGCTTCCAAGCTCCTCGCACAACTGTGAAAAGTAGTAGTGAGCATGTGATTGATCTGAATTAGCTTTCATGATTCATAACAAAGCAGATGAACAATTTCTTCATTAACACAAATAACTGAGTGCTGCTTGACGCAGAGGTATAGACACGTGGGTGGCACTGCACTAGTCCTGACGTCATCACTCACCCCTCCCTGCCTCCACCTGTCCTCCATCACCCTCTCTCCATCACAGGGACTGTCCCTTCAGATATGCTTGCTAGGACACGTTCAATTTAATTTTCTAGAGAAGAATTTAGATTTAAGTGAAGATAAGCTGTCTGGGAGTTCCTTTTACAGCTCGTAAAGCTTGGTCCTTTCAGACTGAACCAGCCTGGATTTGCCATCACAGGGGAGGTTTCTCCTTTCACCTCTAAGAAGCAGTGGTCCTTGGGCTGGATGCTGCAAGAGGTTACTTCAAGATGCCCAATGCTGCGCCCTTTCTTTGCTTTCCCAGAGAGATATGCACAATTTGGAGAAAGAGCACAGAGATTTACAAGAGAACTCAAGTTTTGTCCGTATCAGAGAAGGCCAAGGAAGTAGGTTCCTCAGCACAACAGATGCCCATTCTCTGGGTTGTTTTTTTTCTTTTCCCCCCAAACAAGGCTCGTTTAATCTGGTACTGTCAGCAGGTTAATTATTTTAACTGCTGTACCAGAAATGCGTACTTCGAGCTGGCTAGATAAACTCATTTAAAATAAAAAGCATATTGGCAACTGCAGCTCGGCTTGGCCTCCACTCCCTTTCCTTAATTTGCTGCTGTCCATTGGAATCGCAAGCTTTCAGGATACAAGCGGATGCAGAGCTGTTCGCTGGGTGCTTCGCACGTAGCTGGCCGGAGATAAGCAAACTGCTGTACAATGAAAGAGATCAATGCAACTGCATGCGGGGTTCAGTCGTTCGCCTCCTGCTTTTCATAAGGAACATCAATACCTTTTCAGCCTGTTGGGTTTGAGATCTATGCCAAAAGCATTGAACTGCTCAGTTGGGAAAGATCTGCCAGAAATCCTGGGAAATAAGGAAACACCAGTATTTCCATTTAAACAAGGGTGGTGGTGGAGGGAGGAGTCAGACAGACCAGACTAGAAGGTCCCAAGGTCACACGGATAGCATTGAAGAGCAGGAAATTCAATCAGGATGTGTCCTGTTCCAGACAAAGGTCCCCAACCTCTCCAGCACCTCCCAGAGGCACAGACCTAGTAGCCCCAAGGTGTAAACAGCCAGCTTAAGTGTGAAAAGGTCTTGAGCTTTGAACCATTCAACCATTACCTAGAACACACCATCTTCATCAACCCAGTGCTTTCTAGGAAGACAGGACGGATGGTGATCCCCAATTGACCTTGATGCCCCCCATGATACTGCAGTAAATGTGTACTGCTAGGTCATTTGTTGGCCTTGTCTACACCAAAGAACCAGTAAGTACACTTAAGGAAGCTTGAACCTTGCTGTTTCAAGTGCCAAAAGCTATGAAAACACATCTCAAAGGACCTTATCACAGCCTGACCTTACAAGCAGTCCAGGTCCCAAGTAGTCTCGCCCATACCACAACAGAGCTCACAAAACTACCTTTTCCTCTGAGACACATCAGTCCATCTACAACTGCTGCAGTGTAACCATCAGTCCCATCAAGAGAGTCTGCTGGGAAGCAAGTCAGACCTTTGCAGTGGGGCACCAGCTGCAGGCTTGCAAGAACCCTTCACAAGCATGGCTGTAGCCAGGAACAGCATTCCTTACCTCTAAAAACAGGGACTAAATGGGTAAAGCTGGTGGGGGGAATCTCTGGAGTATGACATGCGTAACAGCAGTAGCTCCAGCAAAAATTCTATGGAGACTACAGACACACTTGATCTGCAGTGTTCTCCTCCCAGTCAGGCTAGAGGCTGTTCTCCAGCATGAGACAAGGACACAGCTGACTAATCTACCCCTCACAGACACTATTAGTATAAACCATCTTGACAACTGCTGAGAAGATCTCGGGCCTCTTCCCACTCGCTTGTATTCTGAAAATACTGGTGTCATTAACCCCAGAAGGAGACCAAGGAAAAGCAATCTTGAGAGAACCCTCTGAAGCACCAGAGCAAACAAGAGTGCAACTCACCATTTTAGGAGGAGCCAGGACTAATATCACAAATCTCACTTCGCAGGAGTTTTCACCCCAATTTTGAGGCCTCTCCAGGCGGCTGATGCAAACATGACGTCGCTGAAGGGACTTTATAGTGCAACTGTCAAGGAAGATGGCATTGTTATACTTGGCACTACAGCACACAGAATCCTATCATAGAATCACAGAACGGTTTGGCTTGGAAAGGAGCTTAAGGTCATCTAGTTCCAACCCCCTGCCATGGGCAGGGACACCTCCCACTAAACACTGCATTAGGTGTATTCTCCCTCTTTCCCCATCTGATTTTTAATAGCTGAGAAATCAAAAGATAAAGTGTGCAACATAGCTAATATTTGCAGTGCTACAGAACCTTCTACAAAAAAGCCCTCTTAGAAAAAAAACCAAAACACCTGCACTATTGGAAAGCAGCATACACTTCATTTCATTTCACCTGATCTCCCAAAGCACTTTCGGAAACACTAAGGCAAGGTGCCAAACCAGCCTATTTCCACTTTTGCCTTGGGCAGATAGATCTCTGTTCGAATGGCTTTCCCTATTTGCTCTCAGCTGTTATTTTTCCTCTTTCTGGTACAGGTGTGTTACAGAAACCAAGCTGACCTCCTTGCTGAAGAGGCACAGAGGCTGTAGCAGGCAGGATTACTGCTCCGAGGGAAATCCTTGGCTGCAATCCAGCCAGTTCTGCCGGGCACACGCTGATTGTTTGACTCCCGTAACAGACTAGCAACAAGTTGTTTGAAATAAACACAGAACATCTTTGGAGACTGTGAAAGACCAGGTCTGTCTCCACTCTGGGATATTTAAACAGAACTCTGATCTGAGTAGCCATCATTTTTCCTGCTGGGAAAGTCTGAAAAAGCAGGGAAGTGGCTTGATGCAATTGCAGGAGGAGGTTAACACCAACCTAGACTGCAGAGGTCTTGTTCTTCCACCTACTACTTCTCAACCCTTCTGAAAAGCACTGATGAGATACACAAACAGGTTTTGCCTCTTGACACTGAACTAGATATAGAAGTGTGCTTCCCTGTCTCAGAGTGATTTTTTTTTTCCTATTTCAAAGTCACTTAGACTGCTTGTTCCCCTTTATTCCTCTAGCAAGAATCCATCACAGTCCTTACATCATCTGTCCTTGAACTTCTCTTCCATAATCCTAGCCTCTTTTTTTTTTTATTCCCATGCACCTTTAAGGTTGTTCCACTAATGGCTCCTGAAGATCTTTGGCTGGTGTTGTTTTCCTGACTAGTACATCTCATTTTCTATGAGGTTCTTGTGTACAAAAATTACCCCACTGAGTTTTTTTTTTACTGAGTTTGACTTCCTGATTGCAGATTGGAAGCAGCTTGCTTACACAAATTAATCTGACAAAGGAGCTTGTCTGAGAGCAAACAAACAGTTTAATTGGAACAATATAGGTCATGAGTAAGATGCCAGCGTTTCATTTATTTCCTAACTCCCCTCCACCACAGCCCCTTGTCCTTTTTCTACTCCGATCCCTTGAATCAGCCTCAAAGGGAGAAAAAAATCAAGGCAGGTCATAAGGTTAGGAATAAATCTCTTCTGAAGTAGTTGAAAATAGAGTGTGAGCTATCCTCTGCTAGGCGCATAGTTTGGATCTGCAACAATCCCTGTCCTTCCCTTCCAAAGGATCAAACAAGCATGGACAATGCTGGTTTTCACAAGCAAGTCAAAGCCCTTGGTAGCAATCCTGCTGTGGCTGGACAGTGTACAAGTCTCCTTGTGTTACAGTTCAACAAGTTAATGGGGAAAATACATGAACTCTGGGCTTTAGACTAAGAAAAGAACCTTCAAGGGGTCCAGAACCTTCAGTTGTCTCACCTTCATCCACCTGAACTGGTCACCACCAGTGAGTAGTTAATGCACCATTAGCAAAAACAACTTTTATTTTGTGCTATGTTCTCAGTGTTTTCATACCCAGATGTTGAGCTCACTGATTAATTTGTTTTGAAAAGGAAGGCCTTCTGGGCATTTTGAACATTATTTCTATCCTGGAGATGGCCAGAAGCAGGTATCCGGTACCTTTTTCTCACAGAGCTTCACTAAGACTTCCCAAACATCACCCCTTCCCTACCATGGCAGTACCTGAACTAGCAAGAAACTACTGAAGTGCAAAACATGGCCAGAAAAAAATTACAGAGCAAGGGCTGATCACACCAGCACACACACTAGTGCCTGCAATGGGGCAGGATACCCAAAGCGTGATACATAAACATAAGTTTATTCATATTGTGGAGAGACGAGTTACCAGCCACCTCTCAGCAGTACCTGCTTGCCTGCTCCCACCCCATTTGAAACCCTCACAAACCCTCCCACCTCACAAAAAGCCCTCCAGAATTTCAGCTTGCCCCTACCTAAGGCAGGAGAGCCAACGCACAGGAGCCCTGCTCCCCCAGCTACAATACAGGAAATGTAGCAATATAGCAAGTTATTTGGAAAAATCTATTATATAGTGCAATAATTAAGCAAGCCACGTGTTCTACTGTAGCTAGATTTCTCCCTGAAACGACAGGGTTATGTTTCAGCTCCAGTAACTTGTCTCTAAGGCTATGCTTTCCGGAGATGACAGTCCTGCCAACAGTGCCAGTCCACAGGGCTACAACATCACTTCAGTTCCAGAGCTTCTTGGGTACACATGTGAAAATGTGACTCTTTAAAAGGCTGCTCTTTGTCACTGAATCACTTTCACGTACAAGCTGCAAAGCCCACTGCTCCTCCCTAGATGTATTCTGAATTTTCCCAGCAACCACCCCAAAATCTTGGGTTTCTCTATATCGGGAGTCCACTATTTCCTTACTGTGAAGGACTGGGAAAGTGTGCAACAAGAGGATCTCCCAGCGCTTAGGCAGTACTGGAAGATTTCACAACACCAAACACATTCACAAGACACCAAGAAACCCATTGTCATCATTATCCTTTTTTATCTGGAATAGTTTTGTTCATGGAACCTGTGTTTGGAGTCATCTCACATCTCCAAAAGTGTTTCTTCCTACTGTTCTGTAAATGGCTCTATTGGCACTGACACATACGTGATACTGGGATCCAGAGGCTCACCAGTAAAAGTGAGCGTGGACCACTGAAGAGTTTCCAGCCTAGTTTAGATCAATGTATGAACACAATTTAGGTCAATAATACCTTTACAGATCAACCTGAGGTGGTTTAGTGAGGGTAAACCAGAGCAAAACCAGATTTAAACAGATGCCACAGAGATGTGATACACCTGAGCATTGCACGTGGAGTGGAGAAACACTGCCTTTGTGCTGAATGCAGCCTCATCTGCACTAAGCTTGGTCTCACTGCTACATGCTTTTTTGGGGGGGTTAAAAAAAAAACACAAAACGTGTCTCAGTATTTTTAGTACGAGGCCAAGTCACTTCTGCCCATGCACCACTCAGCATTCTCAAGCTTTTCTTCAAATTTAAGCCATTATTTAGCTGACTCAAATCCTATTCCCTAGTGTAGCACTTACAGCTCCCACTCTTGTTTTAATTCCAGAATCCAGATACAAATTTAATACAAACCAAAATCGCAGTCCCTGCTAGACTTGTGAAAATATTTGTCAAGGACAAAAAAAAAGTTATTTGGTTCACATGGAGAAATCCCAAGTTATGCAACAGTGCAGGTAAAACTTGGCATAGTTTGGGCCAAGAGGAGAGCCACTTTGAAAATAAAGCAACTTTTTTCAAGTAGCACTTCAGTAAATTCCCACTAAGAAAAAAAATCTGAAGGGTAAACCGCCAAAGCCCCAGAAAACTGGAGAACTAGCAAGACATTTTCAGCTGACTCTAAATCAAGTCTGGTTTGGCCAAAGCCTCCAAGCTCCCTTCTGGTTTGGGTTGAGCTAAATTTGATTCTCCTTTGGTTTGGCCAACAAGCTAAAATCTATTTTCACCCAGTATTAGTCAAACAAAGAAATGCTGGGCTGTGATTTAATGAGATGCCAGGTTGTGTTCTCAGCAATTTTTATCTTGATCCTCCAATAACTGATCTCATAAAAAGGGCATTTAAATTATAGCATGTGTTCCTGCTTTGCTATCCTCTTCTCTTTCCAGGCTCCACATCTAGTGGCATTGAGCGTGGCAGTCGGATGGTGAGAACTGGCAACGGTCCAGCAAAATCACTGATCCACCAAGTCACACACGCCGCGGGTCTGCCCCACACCCAAGATGTTATCAAAGTAATAACACATTTCTCAAACAAATCGTAAAAAGGGTCAAACTATGGAGACCCAAGAGAAACAGAAACCCTCTTTAAACAGGGCAAGAAAGGAAGTTAATTCAGAAACAAATTATCCCCTGCAGTAAGAAAAGGTGCCCAGCAGAGGTAATCAGCTAGCCAGCCTTTTCCTGTCCCAGTGCAGAATAACAATGACACTTCTTGTTCTCATCCACTGCAAATAAATCTTCCTCCGCGGAGCCACTCCAGGCACAAGCCTTCAGAAACCAGAATTTGCAAGTGAGGAATGAGGCTGTGACCAGCAAGCCAGCTCACCCGTGGCTTGGCACTGGGTTATTTCAGCAACAAAATTGCTCCAAGCTGGATATCGTTGTGGACTGGTAAATGCATTTTGCTGAGATCCAGAAAGACTCATCCGCTCTAGCAGTTTATCTCCCTAGGGGAAAGTCTTTTCTATAGGTCAATGCATAGGGAAACATCGCCTCCTCTCTGTATGCATCCATGAGTCATCCTTCTCTCCAACAAATCTCCTTCGGGACCCAAATTCCTGATAAAGGGTCTGAATTTGAGTACTTTTCATAACACAGTACCTTCAAGAGCTTCACCTCTCCGGCATAACCTGGGACAGCCCAACAAGGGTGGCTACAGGCACTTACAAAAAAATTAAATCAGTTCTTTGAACCCAAAGAACATTTGAGAGATGGTGGCAAGAATTCTGAAGAAGCTTTTTTTTTTAATGACTTCAGATCTTGTAATCATTCCTCCAGGTAATAATATTGGTTTTAAATAAGAACATTGGTTTTAAATTGTTTAATTTCGCATTTTGCTCTCTGAAAGAAAGAGGATTATTCTGAGGAATACACAGTAAAGTATCTCTATTCAACAGCTAATCCAGAAGCAATGTGACTTTTCTACAGACCCACAAACCTCTGAGTCTGGACAAATTCTTAAACATGTGCAGTAGGCTTTGCTTTTACTTTTGCCGAGAGATCCATTAGTAACATGTTTCACACAACCATCAGCTAGCTATACATTAAATCCAAGCAGCTACTACTCAAGCTTTATTTCAACAGCAGTCTTGCTTGATATCCAAAATAACTTCACAATACCTGTTTCTGAAAGGCTACCTGGGTTTTTCCGAGTCAGACTCCTCCACAGGAATCCTTGCAATGATAGACTATACCAGAGTAAGCAATTTTATAGAAATGGAGCACACAAACTAAGTCACTCTTTGCTTGCAAGGAGGCTTTTTCCTCTGCTTTGCCTTTTAAAATAGCTTTAGCAAATCAGTTGAATGCAGTGTGCCTTATCAATGCAACCAAAGGAAATTGCTCTTCAACTCGTCGGTACAGACTACGAAGCAACTTGCTTTTGTGTTTTTCTAAGGACTCAACTTTGGAAGAAAGCAATTATATCACCTGGCAAGAATAATCTAGCCTGGAAGTTGGGATGCCTGGGGAATCCCAGGCAGCATTTGTTCAATAACTCACACGGCTGGTGTTTTTCCTAGGAGGGCATCAAGGAGATAGATCCACCAGCAGTCAGTTAACAGTTACTTTAAGATCCTTAGCATTAGAGATCCTTCACATCAAGAGGGGAAAAAAAAGAAAATTAAGAAATAGACATTTGAATCTCAATTAATCAGATTGTAAGAGAAGCAATTGGGTGTGACAGGCTTGTGATGAGCAGCACTTCTCTATATACCCTCCATTGCGTATGGCAGGGCCATCCTTGGGCTTTTTGAGCCATAAAACCATGCAACACCAAAACCAATAGCTCTCCTAGGGGCTTACTCCCTACATGCAAAGCATCCAGTTTACCCCTCCAGGTTCTGGATAATGGTGGATCTAGCTGGTTCCTGGGGAACTCAGAGCACCCACCTGGCAGTACATCTACCTGCTGCCATCATTGCAGGCTGGAAGGATACCAAGATACCTCCTTAAGCTCTTACTAGAAGCAGAACTTCCTCATGCTAAATAAGTGATTAAACCTGAGGATATCAGTTCAACACTCCCTCTTCTGGGACATGTCTGGCTATCCCTCATCCCAAGTTCTCTAGGGAAACAATCAACTAGCAGCTTCACAGTGAAGAGGCAGGAGATTTCCATGCCAGCTTGTGTCTCGCTGTTCTGGCAAACACTGTGAATAGGAGGAGTTGTGCCCCTGGTTTCTGAGGTATGAGACTGTCCTTGACTGATGAAGCTAGTATGTAACTCTCAATATTTGCTTTCTAGTTAGAAAATCATCATGTACACAAATACCTAGCAACCTTCATCCTTCTAGAGCTGAGTATTGCTGGTTGTGGACCATGCAGTACCAGACTGCTCTCGACTACCCAGAATTTTAATGAAGGAGTCTCAAGGTTTCCATAAACTTATGGACCCTGGGGTGGCTTCAGCAAGATGAGGCTTTGGTCATTCTTGACAAAAGAAGCCCTCAAGCCTATCATGAATCAGAAGCCAGTTGCCAGTTGTTTTCCTGGACTTCAGTGGAACATTAAAACCTCGAGATCTTAATTCCCCAATATTTTGTTCTGTCATGTGGCTATAGCCCAGATCCATATGGTACCTCTGACCTGGCTAGCAAGGAACTGAAACTGTCAGGAAAGCACCGATGCCAACAGAAGCAGAATACCTATTTCACCCCAGGTTTTCCCCACCAATCTTACCACTGAGGATAAGTCAGATAAGAAAGAGCAGACCTTTCTCCAGCACAGAAGAGAGGGAACTAAATTTTAGTGTCCACCAGGAATGCTCTTCTGCAGCCAGGCTCTGCACAACTCAGTGAAAATCCTACACAAGTTTGTTTTTTTCATTCTGACTCTAAACTAATTTTGGCTTTAATATCAGAAGCGGCACTACCAAAACCATATCTCTGAGCTGCTCTTCCTCATTTATATAATCTTATCATGATACTCAAGCCTATTTCACCCACTAAAGAAAAGAGCAATGCTAATTTAAAATTTTGCAAAGATTATAGACTAAATGCAAGGACAAAGGACAGCAGATATCTTCAAGGTTCTTCCCACTCATATGGAAAGTTTTTTCATCAACAAATTCCTTTTACTTCAGAGTTTTGGAAGTTGTTTTGCAATCTGACTTCAAGAGAAATGCAAGATCTAAAAATATGGTTCACAATCTGTTGCACAATAGCTACAGCAGAAATACAGTGTAATAATTAGATAATTATAGTTAATAACTCATCACTGCTTTCCCACCACTTTCTTCTCCCTCTTCAGAGTAACAAAAGGAAGAAACAAGGAAAGTTTTGCACAAGACACCTTCAGGCTGTAAGCTTATTTTTCAAATCCTGTCTTGTCATGGAAGCTGGTATTACTCACATGGATGCAGTTAAAGCTTTGGCACACTTCCTACGGAAAGGTTGAACCTACCCTTTTCAGCTTCGTGCCTATAATCACAGTATTTGTATCATGACCTCTAGAATGCTTTGTTATTAAGTCAACCTCCAAAGCCCTCCATAGAGCCATGTCACATACCACAGCAGAAACTTCCACCCTCTACCCTTCCTAGATTAGGATGTGCGCACCCTTATTGCTGCTATCCTACCTGTGGCATCCAAAGGGGAGAAAACTGCTCAAAAGCCCTCTTGGTTGATTTTTGTTGTTGTTTGTTAGGATTTGGGGTTTATTTTGTTGTTGTTTATTTTTAAATCATTTATTTCCAAGGCAGAATTCTCCACATTTTTTCCAGCCATAAGCAGAGGGTAATAGAAGAACCGCTAGAAGAAGGAAAGCTATTGTGACAGTTGTCCTAGTAAACTGGCTGCGAAGGCTAAAATATGTGCACGCACTCTCTGAGCCTTTAGGCACCTATCCAACATATCCTGGTAATTTCTCTGGGAATTAACATATTTCTTGACAACTTGACTTAGAGACAGCATATGCATAAAGCAACAGACAGAAGTCAAATCGTAGTGCTTTGGTTGGCTTAGTGACTCAGGTTCCAGCCTTCCTCTGTGAGGGGACAGTTTGACTCGCCCAACATAACTGACTTAGGGACAGGAATTTCAAAACCCAGTTTTGGTCAAGTGGAAGCTGGGGTAAAGCCACCATGTCTCATTAATCCCAGGTGACAGAGTCCCTACTGTCTTAAGGATCTGCTCCAATGTTTAACAGTGTTGACAATTAATCAGTGTCTGAATTAATTGTCAGACAAAGTAATCAGTGTCTGAATAGTGTTGGAATTTCTGACTTCAATTGTCAGTTAAAGTTTAGATGCTTTCATCAAAGGACCTAAGAAATCTTTTGGTACAAGTTCCCAGACTTTGGCAGACAAAGCAGCCCATGAACCAGTTTGCTTGCCTCTTTCAGAAGTTCCTCTCATTAACATTTCTCAGTAACTAGCATTTTGTCTCAGATTTTTTTGTTGTTTTGTTTTTCACCATTCTTATCTTGTTAACGCCCAATTTCGATAGCATCCAAGAGCTTAACGCCCTGCAGAGACTGGTCATGTCTGCTCTGGCTGCTGCTTACCCATTTGCAAAGAAGAGGAGCCCAACGCTGAGACCCCACAGGGCCAGGATGCATAGATGCAGAGGGCACCACCATCCAGATTTACAAGGACCTTCTGAACTGCTATTCCCAGCAGCAAGAAAAGTTACAAGTTTTGAGGAGCCAGTAGATTCTGCTAATCTCACCGAGGTACTTACATGATACAGAGCCAGGACTGCTGATACTGCACCCCTGTGACTGTCGCTGTGACCCCTTGAATCGTATCTGATAAGAGGTGAACTAGGAAAAGAAGAGAGGGAAACGTTACAGGCTGCCCATGTTTGGTTCTCAACTGCAAATAACATTTCCTTTCCAATGGAAACTGAGCACTAATACCAAGCATATTTACTTATCTGCACAGTGGATTGATGCAAGAGTGGGAGGGTAGGGGGGGGGGAGCATAAAAACCGAAAAAAACAGAAACATTTGTCCTGATGCTTTTTTGAATTCTGTCCTTAAACTATTCACAGCTTGGAAAAGCAACTGTTTTCTCCACCCAACATCAACCTACTGCAGTATTAGATTATTAGATGAGCACCATTCAACACACACAGACAGCACTAGAAGAGGCATTGTCTTCTGATTCCCCTGCTCTCTTCTCCCCCTCTTCTTAATTACTGTTCTCATTATTTTATAGCACTGCTTAATTTTTTTTTAATTGGCAGAAAGCCTCAATTAAAGAGATTATAAACATGAAGCTCTAAGACAGGTAGCAAGAAGTAACTTAAAGCATGAACATGCTTACTACATGCTCAGGACTTGACATATCTGTTAAACAAATTCACTCAGGCTGTGACAGTTACATTTGAGGTGCGATGTACACGTTTGTATATTCATTCCTGTTGACTCTGAAACATCATGGGTGCCTACAGAGAAACAATGCTTAGTTAAGCTTCTTTACATCTTGGGCTAAAAGGTAGCATTTTACACTATGCTATGACATTTGCTGACAGCTTAAAGTGACACATGAGCCAACAACATTAGCTAGGGTTACCCTTGGTGATTTTCTGGAGGAAAACAAAGTGCCTCTCACCCTTTCCAGTGGGCTGAGAGCAACACAAAGGATCAGCCCTCCCCAACAATTTACTCCTTCAAAGCAATCAAACTTGCCCAGCCTGGGTGAATTCAGACGGAGAATCACAAGGGAAAGGACCCATTTCTGAAGAGAGCCTGGCAAGCATCTCTTTGCTGAAGAACATCGGACACTTGCTTGAGGACAAGCACACCAATGGACCCAAACAGACAAGACACTCCAGTGCTGTAGACTTCTCACTCCAGAGAACACCACTGTGTCATCTTAATGAAACAGGGGCAAAGGGGCAAGACTCCACCAAAACATAAAAACTCTGAAGACATGAAACCCTTCAGCCTGAGTGACATGGAAAAATAAACTCCGTGTCACATGCAACATGCAAGTCTGGGGACCACGCACTAGTGAGTGTTCAACACACCACCTATAGAAAGGATAACAACAGTAACCCGCAAGGAAAATCAAATCAAGAGTTGATTACCATTCCCTTCGCGTGGGGTCCCTGAATCCGTGAATAAAGTGCTCATGATTTTTTCAAAGTTGCAGCTTGGCTCAATGTTCTGAGGATCTTCAGCGAAGTGTTTCAGCATCTCTCGAAGAACATCATCCAAGGAGGTGGCTGTTTCATCAAGGATAATACTGGCTCTGGCCAAGAACCCATCCAGGTCCCGGTGGGCTCTGACTTCCTCCTCAAAATTCTTTAATTTCAGGTACTGTGTTAAGAAGATGTCAGAGTGTTAGACAGCTATATGCAATACCTAACACTTCATAAGCACAAGTTGCTGAAGTTACTGCCACCAAACCAACAATTCTGGAATCACTTGGACCATTCAGATAACATTATAGAAGAAATGAGTTTTATGTCATATTATTAATGCACTGAAGACCTGCATTTTCACGTCTTATCTGAACAGAGTCACTACAGGTGAACGTTTAGGCACCATTTATACCCTGACATAGCAAACAGACCTAAAAAAATTAGGGTTTTTGCTTAGGATAAAGCACATGAGTTAAGTTAAAAGCAAAAACGCTTAAGGTAACATTTAAAAACCTTTTTAGGTATAAATAATTAAAGAAGTTTACAGAAACATGGGAAAAGTTATCTGGAAGAAATGGACTCTGAGCTCAGCAGCATGAAAAATTACCAGCATAGATCTCAGTGCAATGTAACCCAGTTCTTCTCAAACTGGGAACCATCTCTCCCCAGTGCTCACAGTTAGGGAGCCTGAAGAGGGACTCGGGGAATGCCATCTGGCTCATCATCTTTTTTGACACTTCCTAAATATCTATTGTTCCCACTCCCAAGGAAACTTGCTTTCTTTGTTCACAACATTTAGCTTTGACTCAATGTGTGATGGGGGCGAGGGAGAAGAAGCTGATACTGTCTCAACTCTGCTGGTTCCTTCTGCTGTCTGTCCCAGACTTGTTGGCCTCGAGACGGAAGAAACAGCCATGCTTTATTACAGAATCTCAGCTCCTTTCTGTATTTGTCAGCTGTGAAGTTCATTAACTGAGTGATCAAACTACAAATGCATCATTCCCGTTTCACAGTCCTTGGAAATCCATGCACACACTTAACACTCACAGCACTGCTCAAGGACTGACAGTCCTGTCCTCTCTCCTTCAACAGTTTAAGATTGAGTGAGGAAATGGAAACAGCACTTTATGTGGATCTTCTTTCTGATAGGAAGCCTGCCAGGCTTGAATTCATGATGTTGAGGACCACAATGTCAACATTTAAACCCCCAGCTCCCCTTAATCTCTGTTAGACTCAGGCTCTGAATTGCTTTTACAAGTCTGAAACCAAGTTGCCTCTACAACCAGCACCTTGGCACATTCCCCACCCCAGGTTACAGGACCACCCCAGATCCCCCAGAGTCATGGATCCCTTCCTCTCACACATACCCTCTCTACCTTTTCCATTTATAGCCTAGACACAGGGGGGAAAAAATGCTAACATCTCACTAATTACTGTAATTATCACAGCAACTATCAAGTTGTCAGTACACATCCATTGCAATTAGCACTGTTTTACTTTGCATCAATCACTTCTTACACAGCATCCCTGAGGGGGAAGATTCTCTGAAGGATTTCAGCTCCCACCTCCCCAAAGGTTTTGTCGCCATCTGCTCTCAGGAAAGGAGACAGCGACACAGCTACATTACAACTCCGCCTAAAAGAGACCATAGACCTTCAAGTGGCCAAGTCAGTCTCAAATTATCACTGCAGGAGAGCAGGTGAACACACCTATCACCATCTGTAACACTGGCGTTCATGGGGTCACCATATGACCAGGAGCCATCTCCCAAAGGTAGTTTGTTTCAGCTTGGCTGGCATGCAGAATCCAACCTAGGATGTAGGCTCAACCAGCAAAGAGGCCAAATGATCTATAAAGGATTTAACGAGGTGGATGGCAGAGGATGCACCCATGAAGGGATGAGGAAGGCTAAGAGCATCAGGAGTGCCACAGTGCTGAGGAGCTTTCAAAAAAGCAAGAGTAGCTTTGTGTCACCAACTTCACCCACACATGAGAGAAGCCACCAGAAGCAAAAGACTGGAAGGAAAAAGTTGAGGGGTAGCTGAGGGACAGCAGAAATGAATCAAAGGTGTTCAGAAAAGGGGTATTATCTGCCCACATCATCTCAATCAACACCAGTCCTCCAGTGAACTGTGCACGACAGCACCATTTGCTTGTTGTGGCAGACAGCACTGTCAGCAGCTTACTACAAATCATAAGGATTCAGCTCCAGCTCTTCCACAGGCTTCAGGCAATGCCTTGGGTAAATAATTTTCCATGCCCCAGTCTTGTTTTATTTTCTTGGTCCTTTGCAGAAAACAGGGGCAACATTGGTCCATATTATCACTTCCATAACATTGGGAAAGATACGTACATTAAACATTGCAAGGCAACTAGCCACCCTGAAAAGATATGAATACATCACTCCCTGAGACAAATCAAGATCAAATGAGTGGAAGCATGGCTACAGGAACACCTCGGGGACAGCTCAAACAGAACTGTTCCTGTCAGGACACCTACTTGTTTCCTGACACTCAAAGAACCTTACGAGAAGGGATGTCCAAAAAGCAGATTGTCCTGAGCAGAGCTCCGCCTGTACTGTGGCCATGGTCAGCCAGAGCAATTCCCTCAAACACACCAGGATGGTGATCAAATAGTTCAAACCAGCTTCTCCCTATCCATGCCTACCATGTGCCACGCCAGAGAGCACCTTGCCTCAGATACAGCAGTCCTAAAAGGACACAAGAACCACAGGCTACCACCAGAGAAACCTACCAGGCAACCTACCAGGGAAACATCTCCAGACAAAGCTTCCGACCTGTCCACTTTCCTGCTAGCGATTCCCCCTTCCCAGACACTTGGAGCCATCTCCTCTGTGACTTAGGTCCCAATTTTCTTTGCATTTGAAGCACAAAATTTCCACTCGTCCTCGCTGAAGGCAAAAACTGGCAATGGTATGTTCTCAAGCCCTGCTAAAGCATGCTAGCTCTCTGCTATTTATTGCTCAATGGCACACCAAAATGCTTAAGCATGAACTATAAGGCCAGAAAAAGCAGGAATTCTACAGCTCTGGAAATGAAAAAATAAAATAGAAGAGACATTTATGCGTTAGAAGTTTCCAACTATTTCTTATCAGAGGCAGATCCTGCATTTGGACTTAGAATTTGCACTTTAAGTGATTAAGTTCTTAGGTTACTTTCAGTCAAGTGTGTACAGCTCTGAGAACCTTGGCACCAGTATTAGACAAGTTATCGATGGAGACATTTCCATTCCTGAGCACAGAAGAGCTTATTTTAATTTTTTTGACTTAATATCAAACAATGTTCAATTATTTTCTTGGTGGTAGGTTTGGTTTTTTGAGGGTGGGGTGTTTTTTTTTTTTTTTTTTAACTTGAGGAAGGTTTCTACTATTAAAGCTGTTATGCTTTTTCCTCTCTCCCTAATAATTCAGCCTGCTGGAATACCTTTTCCAGGATTTGAGGTGTCTTACAAGTCTAAAGCAAAGCAGGGAAGAGTTCTCTGGGCTTCTCTAAAAAGCCCCCAAGGCCTTAGTACACAGATTTAAGAACCCAAATTACAGCCTTCAAAGCCTGCAACATTTGATTTCCCAGGATCGGCGATGCTACAAGTTTTCACGCAGCCAGCCAGCCCCTCTAGCCAGCAGACGAGGCAGGAGTCAAGACAACTTATGTCTTGCGCCATGTGCTATACACCAAGACTGCAAGTGGTATTAAATACCAACTTACTTCCTCTCTGCATACTTTCAGAGTCAGAAGTTTGGAGTAATACATTCTTAGAGATGGGTTTTTTTTTTTTGCATTTCCACCTTATCGTTATTGAGTTACGGTCTTGAGAGCAAGCATAAACTAAGCGTTGTTTCCCAATCGTCCTCCTAGACTGCACGTTTCCAGGGAATTCACTCCTTTTTGCTGAACCTCGTGAAGGCAGATCTGATTAGCTGGAATAAACAGGAAATCAAATCACAGCAATGTCTACGGGGTGTTTCTGCCTTCGGCTCCAGAGAAGCTCAGCAGCCTGAATCTCTGTGATGTGTACTTGGACCCCTTTTTGCAGGCAGCTGCAGAATAGAAAGTGATGAATTAACATATCAAGGATTTGTCTGGGACAAAAATCAGGGGAACAATCAGAATTACAGAGAAATTGTTTGGAGAACAAGTAGCACATGGCTTTTTACGTTTAAAGACAGATGGAGGAATTCAATGCCTTCTGTTTTGGCCAGTAAAAACCACCTCCCCACTGCCACAGAGTGTTTCAAGATCCTTTTCCCTGCTTCTAGATGGTGAAAAAATAATAAATTGATCACACAGCATTCCGACTTACCTTCCTTGATGTGTGCAGTAACACACAGCCAGCACTTTCATTTTCAGCTGGAAAGGGGAAAAAAATAAAATAAAATCAGAAGTGTTACTATTGCAGGTACCCGACAGGTAGCAGGAACCAAGCAGAAGGCTCAGAACAAGGTGAAGTGTCATTTTCTTGGCAGAGGATGATCTCTAGAGAAAAGCAGAGATTCAATTTTTGTAACATTTCCCATTTTGAAAGTGTAAACTAAGTGCAGAAGCAGCCTTCGGCTTTATCTGATCAGTTAGGGCTTGTGTCTTCCAGATTCATTTTTTTGTTGTTTTTCAGATTCCCTATGTATTTTTCACTTTTACTTCTTCCCCACCTCCCCGCCCCCCCAAAAAAATCTAATTCTTAATCCTTTAGGTAATCATTTAATCCAATGCATTGTTGCTTGATAGATTGAGGCTAAGATTGCATGAGTCACACATGCTTGGAAACCATTCTTGCCCTCCTTAGTCAACAATAACACCCAGGCACTTCCAAGGGAGCCGGCTGCGAGAGATCACACGCAGTGACTCGAAGACGAGCACATTAATGTCCTGTCAACTCACCACACTGCCTCCATAAATCTAAGCATAAAGCAACGGAGCTCTTGGGAAAGAAAACTGCTGTTTAGAGACTATTAAAAGTCACTTAATATGGAGCAGAGTTACAGGGATGGGGATACCCAAGAAATTCCCAGTTTAAACTTCCAAGCACCAGCATTAACTTTTTTTAGGGTAACTGAAGCAATTTTTAAGTTAAAAAAAGAAAAATAAAACACAGTTGTTTTTGCCACAAGCCCTCTCCATACTGCTTGCATCCATGGCAGCATCCCTGTAGCATCGCCAGTACCACAGGTACTGGCTGTTCATCCTTCTCCTTCCAAGTCCTCACCTTCAAAACAAACACCCCAAAAAACCCTACAAGATTCACCTGCTACCAAAATGATAGGTGAAGCGCATGAACAGTTTTCATTCAAATGAGAATAGCGACAGCATGGAAAAAACCCACCGAAGACCAAAAACTTTTCCAGAGGCTGAGCTGTGGAAAAGTACAGAGACGTAACACAGTTACAGCTATTCAGACAAGGTTTTTTTGGTTCCTTTCCAGATCTGGACTTCCAACTCTCAATCTTTAAGAACTGCTGCAATCCCATTTCACAGACTGACAACAGACAGGCACCTACAAGCCCGGACCTGCTACTCTCAAAAAATAAAAGTGAGGATGCAATTCACATGAAAACACCAGAACACCAAAAAGAAAGATTTTTTTTTTTTTTGCATACAGAAAGATGCTTTAACCAAAACCATCCCTCATCAAATAGGAGTTTTAAAATCAAGTCTGCAGTGGAGTTAAAAGGCTGCAACTCAACCTGGGAGCAGAGTTGACCGCAGTAAAGAAGAAGAAAAGGACAGCCTTCATCTCCCACTAACAAAATAAGATGGTTCACAGGCTTCGGTTACATCACCCAATTTCTCCCAAAGTTCACTTGGATGCTGTACATGTGATTAAAAGCATAATTTAGACAACTCCGCTGCTACAATGGTCCCAGTTATTACTGCTTGTGACACATCTTTTGGAAAACACAAGCTGTTTCATCTAAAAAACATTATTTATTATTAAAAAGCAAGCACCCAAATAAACCAGAAACATCAAGCATTTTTCCAGGCTCTTACATTCGTAGTTCTCTAACGCTCACTTACTCAACTTGCAGCCTAATTACGCATGCAAACGTATGCTGAAAGATTCGGAAGCCATAAATACTCCTTGAGGAGAAAACATGTTTTGGTTTTTCAGCTCTTGCAAGAAATAGTTCTAGAGAGACAAAAAATATCTGCAACCCTGACCAATAGCAAGCACACACTAAAAAGAAGTATCTGCACATCTGCAGTCTGTCCTTATGGATGCACGCAAACACAGAAATTTGGGTTGTCCTTTCATCACACAGCAGCTCTTGGTTCCTCTATCAGTCTCAAGCGCGTATCAATCTTCTCTGCTGACAGCTCTCTCAGGTACTCATCTCGGATGAGCACCGTGTACTACTTTATCAGCACAAGCAAAACCATCTAATTACAGCTGTTGGACCAGGATCTCTCAAACTTCTCAAAAAAAAGCTGTTCTGGGTATGGAGGTGATGCTTTGGAGGGCCCAGAGACTCACTCATCATTTCATCCAAGCAACATGCCACTCAGGCTTGATGCAGGGAAGGGAAACAGCTGGATATGGTAATTCCAGTTCTGGTGTTATCTTAAAGGCTTACTGGAGTGCTGTAGCATTAGTCAGGGATAGTCATAAATCCACTGGAACATGAAAAATGTGGGGAAAAAAAAACCACAGAGACTTCCCAAGTGCTCTTCTGCCTGGCTCATGTACCACCCAGTTACTCACTGCGGGGGGACCCACTGTGTGGGATAAAGCCCTGCATGAGGTCACCCATGACACATCCATCGGGAGATGGCTTGGCTAAAGTCCAAGACCAACCACCAGCAGCCTGTCACCCATTTATTCCTCCTTCATGACACTATCACTGCCTCTATCCAGTTATGGAGGAGCTGGAAAGATGCAACGCTCTTGACCCTTGCACCTCCAGGGAGGAACCCTTCACAGGGACAAAACAGATACAGAAAATCATGGATTCACCCTCTACTGACAAGGAAGAAACTATCCATCAATCACCAGTTACATCTCACTATCAGGAGAGTAAATAATAGTAAATAATAACTAACTAGATTTCACACCTGAATGTCAGGATTAAGCATACTTAAACAGAAAGAAGAGGTCAGGACCACGTAAAATTTTAATTTCTATTTTTGTGGTCCTCCTTGCTGGACAAAGCAAGCTCCAAAGGTCTATTTTAGGCAAGCTAGCTAGCTACGGGCATTATTGTCTCTGTCCTCACAGATAGTTAAAGGAGAGCTGCCAGGGGTGGCTGACCTTATCTGTTAGGCTGGGCTCCAGGTTCTGCCCAGGGGAAAAACCAAAAAGTCAGCAACGCATCTCCAACGTCCCCTGGCAGCCACATCAAGGCGACACACATATCCCGAATTTCTAGGACGCATGCTATGAAGCACGCAGCATTACCGAATATGCTACGAGCGACTCTCTGGGAGTTCACTTTGAACACCACCGATAAATTGCCAACATCAGACTTACACTCGTGGCCTTGTGTCGGCCCGTTCGGAGCCCTGCCAGGGCCCTGTGGCATGCCTTCATTTTTTCTTTCCCACCATGTGCAGAAGAACAGGACCTGCCCAGCTTTGACATGAGCGAAGAGATTTAATACTTGGAAGCAAGAAACGCAGCAGGAAATTTATTTGCTATACTCCACAGCGGTTTCATCCCCGCTGCCCTTTAGATAACATCCCCGACAGCAACCCAGAGAAGTGAAATCCCTTCCTTGCCTCCCCTCCAGCCCCATTTATATAATGACATCTTCTATGCAAAGGCAGCCCTGAAAACAAACCCATGAGGGTCATATGCCAAAGTTTAAGGCTTTTCACCTTTTTGCCTTACGAGATCTCCTTTCACTTAAGATCCTCTTTCCATCCCAGGTCCCCAGCAGTGCCCTTAACACCTGAAAGGACACCAAAGTCTTTGGAGAGCAGCAGCTCTGCAGTGGATGTCCACAGCATCTTAAGATTATATTTTCGTTGGAATACAGGAGTGGAAATTGGAGAGCAGGAACTTTTCTGGTCATGCAGGTGTCAGTGCATATTACTTTAGATCCACGTGCACACACTGCATGGTAAATAGGCTAATAAATCAGAGTAAAATACTATGTTAGCTCTTCCATTATTTTCTCAGGAAAATATCAAGGATCTGGCGTGACGTTTAAGGTTTGAACTCTTGGATTTTTATTATTAAAAGAGAGGGGAGATTTAGATGAGATATTAGGAGGAAGTTTATTCCTGTGTGGGTGATGGGACAGTGTCCCAGATTGCCCAGAGAAGCTCTGGATGCCCCATCCCTGGAGGGGTTCAAGGCCAGGCTTTGAGCAACCTGGGCTGGTGGGAGGTGTCCCTGCCCATGGCATAGGAGTTGGACTAGATGACCTTTAGAGGTCCCTTCCAACCCAAACCCTTCTGTGATTCTATGTTGTTTTGTTTTTTTCTTAAAGCTGCAATAGGTTTTGTCATTAAGTTTGGGGCAGGGCAAAAAGATGCTTTTTTTCCCCATGTTTACTGCTGGGACAGGGGACTCAAAATCCCAGGGGAAGCTGCCCTTGAAGCAAACCCAAGGTGAAGCACCTAAAAGGGAGAATGCTGCCTTTGTGCAGGACTGCTTGCACTACCCAACCCCCCCCCCCCCGCCCCCCCGTAAGCACCGCTTTGAAACCCCCCTCGTCAGGAAATTCGGAGGGAGGTCATCCCCCCCCACCGCCACACAATCGGTGTATCCACTTTCCATTAAACTATAGGAAGCTTCAGGAGCCCAACATCCCACGCTGACATCAAACTGCTAAAACAGGAGTTATCAGATGGAACGCGTGGGTCAGCATTGTGCCTCAAGACATAAAAAGGACCTTGGTATTAATGTGAGGAAATGTGACTATTGTGTGCAGAATGATACCCATTCAGGCCCAGACCACTTGTCTCTGGACGCTACTCTCCCTGGAATATCCTTGGCGCCAGCATCTAGCATTTCTCCTCGTCTCCTTAAAGACAAAAAAAAAATCATCTTGGGCAGGGGCTGGGCCAGGAGTTAGTACACCCTGTTTTTGCGGCAGCGGCGGGCGTGCACGTGCATGTCGCTGGAGCGGATTACAGGAAACTGTTGATTCTCTGTATCTGCGAATGATCAATTGTCCAGAGGGTGGAACAGGCTTTAATTTCTCCTGAAGCATGTGTTCCGTTATTTCCCCCCCCAACAAAGCCACATCCTGCTTTCTGATTGGCTTTTTGCTGCCATCAGGATTTTGCCTTCGTCCCCCGCCCCCAAGAGCTACTTAGAGCACCTCTCTGCAGCCAATGCCACGAGCATGAGCAGTAAGTGGCAATGCATACTGCAAAAGTTGAGCAGCTACAGCTCCACAAATCCCTGATAAATTGTGCCCAAGTTTGAGAAAAAAAAAAATCCTATGGAAACCCCTCTATTGCAATCTGGGGAAAGGAAAAGTTGAGTTGTTTTAAAACCCCAAGCTGCAAGAATGAGGTCCAAAGAATTATTTGAAAACCCCAAACTGCAAGAACGAGGTCCAAATGATGAAAATATTTGCCTGGATGATTTACAGGAGGCTGCCAAGCAGATCAGAGCACTGTGACGAGCAGCAAGGCTGCAACCTCATCCACTTCACAGACTCACTGCAACAACTGAACTGGTGTGTTAATTTGCCGGGATTTATTTCCAAGCATGCTGCAGACAAAGCAGCAAGTGGTTGAATCCTTTAATTTGATGTTTCTGGAACAAGCTGGAAGGATGCAGGCATGTAGTCCCATCCCTGGAGTTCAAGACCAGGCTGGATGAGGCTTTGGGCAACCTGGGCTAGTGGGAGGTGTCCCTGCCCATGGCAGGGGGTGGAACTCGATGGGCTTGCAGGTCCTTTCCAACCCATTCTGTGATTCTATGTACTCCTGCAGCCCAAGCTCTAGAAGAATTATGTAAAAGCCCATGTACAAAATACAAAAAGGGACAGTCAAATTCACATCCAGATGTCACTAAGACAGAAGGGTGGATACACTTCTAGTTAGGCGAGAGACTAGGAAAGCAGCTGTCAAGCCATGTGTGAGCCTGCAAGCCACTGCACAGCTAACCTGGCAGCTATAAAATAAAGCAGGGCTTGTAGGACACCAGTCTGGAGAGAAAAGAGGTCTCCCCAGAACTGACAGGTCCCCTCCACTGCACACCAAACTCAATGATGCTCCTCACCCTCTCTGGTACAAATTCCTAGGGACCAGAGCATCGAGCTGGATTTTCCACCTGCAACACAGGGAAGGTAACGTCCCTGCTCATCTGGTGGGGACTCCCTCTCTGACCTGGGGAAGGGGTGGCAGGGAAAAGGAACATGATTTGGGACAGGAATGCAGTACTGACTCCTACACAAATACATACAGCAGGGCACAGACCTAACATTTTACTTTATTGTGATTTAAGTACAAGTCTCAGTCTCTCTAAAAACCATCCCTCATCCTCCCCCAAAAATGCAGATCCCAGGTCCAAAACAGATAAAGACCCACTTTCACATGTTAGAGCTAACACCTGCTGAAAACAGAAGCCTTGCCACCAAAACCTAAACTGGAAGGATAAGAGGCAGAGAACAGACCAAAAAAAAAAAAAAAAATCTTTTCATCACATAGTGCAAGGAAGCAACAGAACACCAAGGAGAAAGGACTCCAGCATCAAGACTGAGCAGCATTTTAATGCCTGAGCACCTGCACTGATTTGGGCTCAGTATTCCATGCAGCAGCAGCCAGTATTAATTAAAAATGAGATAGGCCATACCTCAAACCCTACATTTCTTCAAGCTATCCTGTTTTATACACATCTGCGCGTGCAGCCCAGCATTTTACGACAATGGTTAATTGTCGGAATTTTATGGGCCATGCTACGTTTTGTTGGCTCAATGTCTAATCCCACGCAGCGATCTTTTTAAAAGAGAATTACTGTAAAGTGCATCCAATTATGCTCGTAGTGAGCTGTACATCCATCATACCAAGATTAACAGCTCGACAGGATGATGGCAGAGCTGTCACTGCATCTGTAATTCCACTTACATTGCCTGCCAGCACCCAGCCCCTGAGGTACCCCCTCACCCCCTCCCCAAGAAGGAATTTTTGGATTTTTTTATCCCTACACCAAGGTGGGCAGCAACCTTATGGCAGGTCACCAGGAACGGTCTCCAGCAGGAGAATTTGGACATCACATTTAGCCAAAAGACCGAACTGTGACACTCGGAACAGGCATACAGAGGCTCCCAGATATCACAGAGCAGCTATTTATCTTGTTTCAAGTCACCTCAGAGATTTTTCCTGCTGGAGGTTGAAAAAAAAAAATGTATTTTATGCAGCAAGTGCATCTGACACTAGGGAGCAAATCAACACAAGCAGTACTGGAAATCCCTCTTTGCAGAAGATGGCCCATAGCCATTCCCTCTCTGGCCAGGCAGCAATCACCCAAACCCCATCGAGTGTTGCAAGGGGTTGCATGACACAAGAGGGCAATACCAAGCCCTCTGTCAACAAGGAAGATTTTTGGCTCAACTGAGGTTTCACCCAGCTTGAAGAAAGCTGTCATTCCCACACTTGCTTTCTCACTGCGCTTAAAGAGCACCAGACCATCTTGTAGGATCCTGGGACACTAGCTCCCTTGGGGGTTGGAATTGAAGCATTTGGGGGATCTTGCATGGCCTGGACAAAACCTGTTTTGTTTTGGTTTTTTCTCTTCTTTCCAGCTTGTCTTGCTAGAGACCAGCACTTGCAAGTGCTCAGCTCCACAGTTTTGTGCCATGGATACAAAGTATGAGCATGAAACAAAACACCCAGAGAGCAGCAGCAATGCAAGGGCATTTCTGAAAAATGTCCCCTTGCAGAGTTGAACAAGGAGCAGTATACTCCCAGACATACCTCAGCCATTGCATGGTTAAACCTCATTTCTGGAAAGAGTTTAGAAAGCTTGTGAAGAAAGTATTTTTTTCAGCAGTTCAGGCTACTTTTGGTAGAAAAGCTTAAGGGGCTCATCTCAGCCACTTTTAACCACCTGAGAAGTTAACTTTCCACGAGGATCAGCTATGCCCTCCGTAGCTAGAGACTGATTTAGTGTCTGTAAAAGCAGCTCTGGAAGATGCTTCAGCAAAAGCACCTCCGAGAAAGAGCTGGCAGGCTAGATGACTCGAATACCTGGAGCCTGAGGAATCCTGTGGCCAATGCTCACAGAGCAGAACCTGGATTTTGGCTACTTGGACCACTTTGATGCTGTCATGGAACAACAACAACAAAGAAATCTCACTTCACACCTGCCCTTATTGAAAGTCTGGGCTGGACTTCTGCCTGAAGTCCATTTTAAAACCTCCATCCTTGCATTTGGAAAGGGGACTCCAGCACATGAGAAAGTCCATTTTTCCCTTAAAAAAATCCTAAACATCTCAGCTGAAGAAAAAGGATACAACTAATACCACCGTCACAAACATCAGTGCTTGAGGGAAATAAGGAAGCCTTTTTTGTCCTGTTTTGAATGGAAGGGAAAACACTTATAAAAAGCCCAGGCGGACACATAAGGAAAGTCAGCTCCTTCAGACACAGAAGAATCCACAGCACTTGCATTCCTCATCCTCAAACAATGCACCCCACGGCATTAAGCCCAGACTTGTCATAGCAGACTACAGTTCCCCTTAAATCTTTCAATTAAGATGGCATTTGTAAAATTGCAGGCTTGAAAATTGATATTATTTCTAAGTTAAAGTCACTGCTCCAATTCAAAAAGTAGACTTCAAGGTAGTCAAGCAGAGGTCCAGGCCATGCCTCTTACTCTGCATCACCGTTTCCAATAATTGCTCACTATAGATCAATTGGGATTTTTTTGTATTCTAAAAACAACTTCCAGCAAATTTAAAGGACTGTCTGACGCTGTGATGCCAAGTAAAACCCAGAGCCCTCACGTGTAATCTCCAAAATAGTCAGTGCCCGCACAGGCAGGCTCCAGGCTGCCTCCAGCTGCCGGGACAGAACCCAAGCTGCTGCCGTGTCCCAGAGGGGCTACATTTTTCTGGGCACATACCACAAAAGCCAGGTTTTGTTAGCTCTCCTCCTTCAACACTCAGCACATGCATTACAGGGGATGTTAAAACGGTGTGCTAGAGGCAAAATCAACCTCTTCAGCTATCCAGGGATTTTATTCCTCAATAGCAAGCGTGCTGGATACCTTCACAATTTGTGGGAACTAGGCTGTTTGGAAACCCCCTCCCATCATGCTCCCCAGGTGGGGTGAAGTTTCTGAAGGATGCTGGCTTGGCAGGGAGGGCACAAAAAGCACAGTTTTGGGCAGGCATGTCCACCTGCAACACCCACTGCACAGTCATCAAGCCTAACACTTGGGCCCTCACCTGGAGGAGGCAGTTTGTATTTATGAACAGATCATGACACACAACAGCCCTTCCCTGCACTGTGGATGTAGCTTTGTGCTGCAGGGGCCTGACCTCCATCAGAGGCATCCAACAGGCTAGGTTTCTCCTCGTTTTTGCTGTCTGCTTCAACACAGCAGGTCTAGGGATTGCTTGCCTCCAAGCCAGAAGGATTAACCCCAAAAAGCACATTCCAACATCAAAACTCCCTCCATACTCTCCTCCCTTACCAGCTGCTGCTGGAGAGGAGCGACTGGCCTGCGAACCCATGGCTGCGACTCACCTCCAGCATTTCAATTACAAACACAACCCCAAACACCTCCAAAACCTCCACCTTGGGAAGCCCCAGAGCCACGTTTGAGTTATCTGCAGGGACCACACGCACCAAAAAACCCATCAACAACAGCACAGGAGAACAACATCAAGGCCCCAGGCCCCAAACTCGAGGCCTTTTAAAAAAAACAAAGGAGGAAAAAAAAAAGGTGTCAGGATGCTTCATGCAGATGGCTGAAGATCTGCTGAGCAGCCAGACTTGCTAGGTTTCCGAAAATGAAAAAAATCCCTCCAAGATTTCATGATGAGGAAGAACCCTGCTTCGGGGGTGACACTCACCGGTGGCGTTCGGTGGCACCTCCAAGTTGACATTGACGAAGAAGCGGATGCTGTCCCCCGAGACGATGGAGGAGTTCACCGCGTCGAAGAGCTCCTCGCCCCCCGTCTCCTCCTTGGCCTCGCAGCCGTCGTCCGTGTCACACTTCAGGTACCCTGTGGACGACATGGGGAGGGCGGTTAGGGGGGCCGGGGCCCGGCGCTGTGGGGTGCTGGCCTACCCACCGATCATGGCCGCCGAGGCCTCCGCGGCAGCCGGGGCCTTGCAAGGGGCTTCTCTCATTCCCTTGTCTACTGAGGGCTGAAAATTACAAACAATTGGCTCCAGCACACTTCGGGTTGCTCGCAGGTGTGTGTCCAAATGGCTGCTGCAGAGGCAAGAGCACAGGCTGTACACACCAGCCTGCTCACCAAGGCAATGGCCTGAGCAGCAAAGTCAAGAGTCAATACTTCATTTCTCTCAGATCTGAAGACAAACAGGATGAAAACTCTGACTGGAAACCATAAAAAAAGCCAGGCAGCAACCTAGAAGCAAGAGCTGCACCCCAGCCCTCCCCGAACCCAACAGGTTCATCAGCTGGAGGCAGCGGAGCCACTTCACTTGCGATTCAGCAATTTGAAACTGAGAGGCGGGGGGGGAGAAAAGGAAAAGAAAAAAAAAAAGATGTTTCCAAGGAGACACCTGATATGGATGGACAGACCCACAGCTCCCCACAGGGCAGAGGAGCAGGTCACAGGAGGCGGCAGCACCAAGAAAGCGAGACAAGTTTCTTAATTACAGCAGACAACTCCTTAGCCTTTCGCAACGCTTCTAATTAGAGTTGAACCTAGCCTCGTTCGACAGCAAGCTGGTTCGCTGCAACGCTTTATTACAAAGCAGCTGGAGGACTCTTGTGGCGTGCTCGTGTATCATGTTTAATTAGGAGAATTAGGGACATTATACAATGTCAGTTTTTACATTACCAGGATTATTCAGCAGCTCTTTCCCCTCTTTCTGACAAGTCTTTCATGCCTAATTTGAAGCAGGAGGGATCTATTTCTTTAGCTTGCTTTAGGCACTAGAGCAAAATGAAAAGGGTGAGCTTCCAAGTGGAGTCTTGAATGAAAACTAAAATATTGATGGCTTTTTTTAAAGCCTCGTATAAGCTAATGCAGAGGCGGCAGCAGCTGAAAGCAGCGCACACGGTCTCGGAGGTATCTCGAGCCAACAGCTCGCCACCACAGAAAACAAGCCCTGAGCAGGGAGGCCACAAACAGGAACTCGGTGACACAGGACAGGGGCTGCAGAGCTTCCTGCTGCGAGCAATGGCATCTCCCCAGGAGGGCTGCGGGGGCTTCAAGCCTTCAGGTGACTTCTGAGCTGCTTATCTGAGACGTAGGAAACCCACCAAAACACTCAGATTAATCCTTCTCCTGATCTCTGCCTCTTTTATCTACCTGCCAGACAGGAATAAGTGTGAATCAGTCCTATCAGAAGTGCTCTGAAGGCTTCAAAAAGCATCCAGCTTGCTGCTGTCCCCATCTAGCCTGCCAGCCAGCCAGACAACCCAAGGGTGATGTCCTCTGCTGCTGGTGGAGCTTAGGCAGCTGTTTCCATCCCTGCATGATGGAAGCATGCTCAAAACAGCCAGAATGCAGCAAGGTGAAGAAAGCAAAGGAGACACCTGAACGCAGTGCCTGAAGTAGCATGGCACCACGGGCACCACCAGGTATGAAACATCTGCACAAGGGCTGGCAGATGTGCCAGGACTGAGGGGCAGCCTGTGTCCTGGAGGGATGGACAAGAGCCAGGCAGGGTGCCTGCTGACATGGGAAGAACTACAGAGCCCCATGCAAGCATCTCAATCCCAAACCAAGTGCCAAACCAGGGGCTTGGTTCCTCCAGAATGCGTGATGGACACCATAACCTCTCCTCAAAGCAGAGAGCCCACTTGGTGCTGACAGCCCCCCTGGTGCCAGGAGAGCGTGGACAACCCCGCAAAGCAAAAAAAAAGAAAAAAAAAATCAGCCTGAAATCTATGATCTGAGCTTTTCTACCTCAGCCATACGCAGGATTGCAGCCCCAGGGAAGCTGTCACAAGAGGTCTGTGTCCCTCCATCCTTCCTACTCGGTGGGTCAGATGGGAGGTACATGGGGGCAAAACAGTTCAAGCACACAGCTCAGAGAACACAGTTGAGTTTTTCCCCCACTGTCCTAATGCAATTAAGACACCGATGGGTAAAAGCCAAGCAAGGGAGACTATTTATTCACTTCCCAAACCCACTGAAATTGGCTTAATAAGAGCACAGGAGCAGTGGGTCCTGAAAACAGAGAAGGCTGGAGACAGGAGAGGAGCAGCACAGGCTCTGGAAGAAGAGCAAGGGTGGAGTAAGATCAGAGGGTTGGGCAGAGGTCAGCGAGGACTCTGGCAAGGGAAGCATCCTCTGTTCCTCCCTCTTTAGGGAAGGAAAGAGCAAAACAAAAGGCAGCCGAGCCTTGTGTCCCCTGGGCAAGGGACGGACAAAACACTCAGCTTGCAAATAATCCCAAACCTGGGCTGTACAGGAACTGCACTCCCAGGCAGGTGTCTGCTTTGTCACTAAACCACCTCAAGGCTTCAAACCACTCCTGTTTTGAATCCTTCAAGCTATTAGCCTGCCAGGCATTTTAAAACATGAGCAACTTACGCTGTGTCAAACACAGGACCACTACAAAGGGAAAAGATGAGCTGCCTGCTTGGCAGATGCATCTTCCTCTCCAAGCACGTCTCAATAGCTGCCTCCAGCCCTGGCAGCTGTTTTCCACCCCCATTGCTGGATGATCACCGAGTGCCACCCCTCCTGCTTGAAGGGCAGCAGATGCCACAAGCGACAAGAAAAGCTGTTCAGCTCCTCTGAAAGTTTGATTGGTGTTTCACAGAGGTTTAGAGCAGGATCTGATGCGGCCATCGTACAATTTGTGTAAATATCAATCAGGTTTCCATATGTTCAGTAACATTTTATAGCCTGGGCTATGAGCTTTTGCTTCAGGGAGGTAGAGGTGGGGGGGTTTAGATACCTTTGCATTCTGCCTCAAATTGGCTAAGGAAGAGTTTAAAATCTCCAAAGTGGTGTCCCCCCCCCCCCCCCATCTCTGTCACTGCAGATTGCCACCTTCATATGAAAGAAGCATTTGCTGAAGCACCAAGAGCTACATGACAGGGTGAGTCAGACCTCTGAGCACAGGAAGTGCCACTTCAGCCTGAAATATAGTCTAAAAGCACTAGAAAAAGGAGATTTTGCTGAGTAGGCAGCCAGAGTCAGGAACTGAGTTAAAGCTGGCTGAAAAGATCAGAGCAGCCCTGCTGCATCTTGAAGAACACCTTCTGTGGTCAGGATGATCCCTCTCAGTCCCCATCTCATAGCAAAGAGAAATGGAAAAGCATAAAAAGTGCAGGAGGCCAAGGACAGCAGACACAGTCCTTCAGCACTTCAGGAACAAAGTCAGCTCCTCACCCTGTGCAGCCATAAGCAGCAGATGCCTTGACCTTAAGTCTTTCTGTACCTCAGCCCATCGTATGTAATGTGAAAACAAACCATCCCCTCCATTTTATGCAGATGCTGGGAAGAAAAAAAAATTCTCTAGCCATTCCAGCCAAATTCCATTCTAGCCAAATTGGAGGGAAGTGGATTTGATGG